TTTCTGTTGGCATGGCTGGAGTAACAAAAGATTGTAGTAAACCTCTGTTGGCAGTTTACAGCAGACTTGAACCTTGACACCTCCCACACATCCACAGGAGAGTTATAGGAAAAAATGCCGCTAGTGTAGGCTTGTTTAAACAGGCAATTTGAAAGAAGTGAAGCTACATTTTGGTATGCTCACCCTGGGGAAGACCCTACTCTTTCCCACTCATGATGTAATCAGATGTATTACGATTTGAGTCACAGAGACAGGCTGATTACAACTATAAGATATTACATTTATAGTCCTAGTATAGTAGAGTAATCCTTAAAAGGATTTAAAGTAATTAATGTGACCCGTAACCGCACAATAGTGTAGTCTGTACAACCAAGGTATTGAAATAGTTATGTTTCTTAGGTTTTTATATTGTGAGCCCAAAAAGGACCCAATAGGTATATAAAAACATTTTAATAAAAAACATAGGCTATTGTTATGCTTCACAAATGTCCTTTTCTCTAATATCCCCTTCATGGCTTTAACATGCCTCTCATATGAGTCTTTGGAAGTTGCTACTGAACATGTTCATGAGTTATTGTGTAGGGTCGGCCACTGTAATCAGCAACCAGAGATATTAGAGGTTGGAGTCAAATACAGTAGTCTAAGCCAGGAATACACACCTTAACACATAATATACCCATAATAACGAGTTAGCAAACAGCATTTTTCAACTCCTATTCTTATGATGCACCTTTTACTGACTGTAGAGCCGTGGTATTAACCTATGTAATGTTTGTAGCCTATGGTGTTTTTGTAAACATATTCAGACTAACACAACCATGCTACTAGTAACATGTCACATGAAAAGTTGCTCAAAATATGTTTTAGAACTTAATTTTAACCCACAAACATCCATTTAAAATACTCCATTTCATACTATAAACTGTCTTGGGTCTTTGGCACTTCAAAGAGACTCCTTATACATGCAGATGTGAAATGCCTATACGTGGTGATGTGTCACTGTGTACGTGATTGGCGGGGAGGGAGTGTGTGTGTGTGTCTGGGAACCTGCTACTGGTTTCCCACACACACACAGCAGCAGTCAGTCAGCCAGACGGACGTTCTCTGCGCAGAAACAGCAGCAAGGAAACAAACTCTCCTCCCGCCGCTAACACACCAACAACTGTCGCAGAAGTAAAGTCGACGCGATGTTAAAAGTGAAAGACTTCCGTTTAGTGTGAGGAGACTGGGATAAACAAGGCTGCAGAAAGTGAGTAAACTGTGACAGCAGCTGGAGAAATTAACCGAAGGACTCGGGGACCCGCCGCACGTGGAAATTACTACTGAAACACATCGGTAAGTAACGCTAACTCCAGACTGTGCTTCTTTATAGACATTTCAATTCAAATAGTAATAGTGTGGTCAAGTTTAATTAATGTAGAATCAGTTTTCGCTTTATTGAGAAGCGTAGGATTAAAATACTGCGTCAACACTTTCCACCACTTTACGGTTGGATTCAGGACAAGTGTGCGCGCGGGTTGTTTGGCTCATTAACTGAATATATGCATGTGCTTGTGTTGTGGAAAAAAAGCGTGGTCAAACGTTTCTTCTGTAAACTTGATGGGGAACTATTTTTACCTCTGCTTTGAGAAAATTAACTCAGGTTAATGTGTGTTTTATGGTGTTCATGGAGGTGCACCGTGCCCCACCTGAACTGTCTTCATAAACGCAGGCTGTAGTGACTTGGGGTTGAAAATGCAATACAAATGCATTCATGGTGTCACTGTCAAGCCTTAAGTCTTACAACATATCAGTTTCATTCAAGTTGGACCTCGTCTACTCATATCTTGGAAGTGATAATATTCCAGTGAAATGTATTTCAGCCCAGTCAAGTGAATGTGGGTGTAGTCCACTTTAAATAGCCGAGTAGTATGATTGTCTTACTTGTGTCATCACTGTTTACTCGTAAAGCAATACATGACAATTATTTCACAAGGTCACAATATGCACATACAATCAAAACTATATAAAGTACATGTGGTGGTTTGTGCTGGTGCAAACAAATCATATGGAATAACATTTAAAAAACATTTATCCCAGAAACCCAAGATTAGTCAATATATTGATTAACATTAAATGTGATATTTAACAGACGGTGGCATTACTAAATTAGTGTTACTATACTGAAAACTTGTTTTTGGGGCTTTGTTTTGAATGTTGGGTGTTATTGAGTATGCACTAAATCAGAACTAGGCACAGGCATATGCAAACTAAACTGCTACTTAGCCCCCCAGAGGCTACATGGGGCCCCAACAATAGCAAATTACTACCTGGGTTCTCAGGTGAAACCAATAATTTAATCTTTACAGAAACCTCCTTTTTTCTTATATAGGATGGTCAGTTTCTGGTTCCTAAACTGGCTTGTATCTTCACAGTGACCAAATGTGAAGTCCTGTTCTTTGTTGAAATCATATTTAACACATTTTGTCTTATTTTTTAAGAAAAAGAAACCATCCAGACTTCTTTTTCTCACTTTCATTATATATATGTTTTAATTGTACTTCATATTGGTTGTTTTTAAGGATCCAAAATGCTTGGGCTTGCTCTTTGCTGAATCCAAAGTTAGAATGCCTGTATTTATGAACACCAATTACCACATGTCTCCCCTGCTGTGTGTGTGAAAGGTTCAGACCCAGAGGGATGTCTGGTTCAGACTAGCAGCGAGTCCCCTAATCCTACCCGACTCCTAATGGCATTAACTTCCCCACTTACATTAAAATATTGCATCCTATACAAGAGTCCTAATATGCTATGGCACGCCATAAAAGATAAGATTAAGCCTCTCCGTACTTTAGTGTCCAATTACAGTCAGCATAATATAAACAAGTCGAGCTGGCCCCCTCCCTGTGTGTCCACCACCTCAGCGTACTATTGCCAAAAAGCACAGATATTCTTGAAGGCAGACATAAAGAGCCTTGTTTTTTTTGTTGGTCATATAATGATACGTGATACGTCAGTGTGTCTGACAAGATGACAGTAAGATTTCCTGAGGAATCTGAATCCTGAGATTGTGGTTTTCCTTCTCGCAGGCTCCCTTTGCTAATATCCTTTGCATTAACTCAGTATGCTAGACATATAATGGAGAAGTAGTACATTTTGACATACGTCTGGTTTGTCTTTTGTCTGTTTACATCAGAAGTTTTGCTGATTTTGCACGAAGTGTATAATCCATTCTTCCTTTTTTTGGCTATTTACATAGACACACAGTGCCGGCGCTTTTAGCTTATCCTTGTGCAAACTAATTATACATTCACTTTTGTATCCTGAATGAATGCCTCAAGCCCATTCCCTAGAATACAAATAGTTCATTGTCTCTTCAGTTGTATTTGAGACATCAAATATTAGTAAGTGCTTTATATTTACTTTTCAAATATTTACCTACGACAATTCAGTCTCTCCCAAATGTTTTATCGTCATCATGCTGAGCTATAAAGAATCAGCTCATTGGGGGGCTGACATGTAATTCATTGATTCATCCTCCCTGGCTCTATATATCCTTCACCAGCTGCTGAGAAATATAGAAGGGCCTTTTCTAGGGCGGCTCGATTATGGCAAAAATCATAATCTCGATTATTTGGGTCAATAATTGATATCACGATTATTAAAAACGATTATCCATTTACTTTGAAAACATGTGAAATTTTTTTTTTGAACAGTATGTTTTTAACAGTTCATTACCCTGAACTTTAAGTATAACTCAACTGAAAAACCAATACAAATAAAAAAAATAAAAAAAAGTTAATACAAAAATAATCGTTTTATTTCGATTTCGTTGTTTTCGTAATCGTTGCAAGCCATAATCATAATTGCGATTTTAAAATACGATTTAATTGAGCAGCCATAGCCTTTTCCTTTTTGTGGTAAAAGAGTAAGGTCCTATTCAACCAGCTGCTTCTATGGAGAGCTCTTCTTTTTGTGAACTCTTATTTATATATTGTGAAATAGCTATATGTGCAGTTTTCAGTGTACTGTGCATTTACCTTATGTCCCACCCAGGGCTCTCGACTAACTTTTTTCACCATCCTCCCGGAACCGTCCCGAAATACAATCTAAGCCATCCCGAAATTAATGTGGACTGTCCCGAATTTAAAATATTAGTTTTTCTACTACTTATCATTAGTTAAAATCATTCAAAGTGACCTT